CTGGAAATTCTCACTTCCGTGACTTCAGGATCTGCGTCTCCATCAGGATCACGCGCATGAGATCCAGGATCCGATTCAGGTTTGCCTCCACCGCTTCTCTTCTTATCATCATCATCATCAGGCGGGTCTGGAGGATCATACCCCGTGCCGGTTCCTTCATCATGCTCTCCATCTTCATTCTCGTCGCCAGCTTCGTCACCGTCATCGTCTCCATTATCCTCCTGAATCGTTTCAGCGAATAATCTCCACTCATCACGATCAGCTCTGAGACGCTGTTCGGCTTTCTGGGCCTTGAGTACTTCGCTTCGCAGATCGGCAATCTTCTCCTCGTACCGTTCCGCGACCTCTTTCTCGATCTGACGTCTCCTTGCTTCATGAATGGAATCGTCATAGGCAATAGGGGGACCGATGAGGTCGTTGCCCTTCGTAGATGCGGTGATGCCGTCGACACCAACAGGTCTTGAGGAGCTGGCAGATGCTGTGGACTTCGATCCCAACATCCCGCGATCCTCCAAGAGTTCGCGTAGCTGTCGATCACGCACGGCTGCCGCATCACTTTTCCCATGAAATCCGCTTGGTATGCCGAACAAAGTGGCTGCACTAGGCGTGGAACGCGCAAGTGCTGGGCTGCTAATACCTGGCACGTAGTGCTCGGGCATTGCATCCGCCACGATTGGCATTGAACTGCGGCCAGTAAAGAAGTTTCCACCGGTAAATGGAATTCCATCCATCACAAGGTTCTTGTCCTTGTCCGATTCCGAGAATGCGAACTTCTCTTTGGCGACTGGACTAACTTGACTTGGGGACCGTATTTCAGGGGATCGTACCTCACCTCCTACGGAAAATGCAGGCACTACTTCCTTTCCTACGTGCTCCCAGCCAGACTCAGTAGTCCTCGAAGACATGGGCATGCTCGAAGGCCGTGTCGCTCCTCCATAGTTGGAGTTCCGCGCTGCCTCCAATTCGCTGCGTGTCCTCGCTTGAAGATCTTCTTGTGCTTTGAGCGTTTTCCTGAGTTCACTCAGCTCGTCGTGCAAGGTAGGCAATGATCGCCTTGCATGATCTTCATTCTGATGAAGTCGGTCCTCTGCATCTTGCATCCTCTTCACAGCCATTTTGCGGTACTCTTCCTCTTCACCAAGACGTTCGCGAAGCCGAAATCGTTCTTGATCAATGGCTGCGCTGTTTCCAGCTAGCCCTTGGATCTCGTTCACGCCCGCAACTCCTGGTTCTTGACCAAGTGGAATCGTTCCTGCATTGCTTGTAAGGCTTGTTCCGAACTTGCTGTGTTTGACCGGAGGACCAAGTTCTCTCTGGCATGTTCATGAAGTTCATGAGTCAGACGCTCATACTCACGTGCCATAAGCTCACCATCGCCTTGCGCTCTTGCCTCCAACTGCACAAAGTTAGTGGCTGCCTCCGTGCGGAACACGTGTAGCTGTTGAGCTAACTCCTCGGCAACGGCATGTGCTTGACGTTGTTGAGCAGAGTTCTGTTCATCCATGCGAAACAAAGCTGTTTCATAGTCTCGCTTCATCTCCTGATTGACATTGTTGATGTGCCTCATGGCTAAGCATGCATGGTCACGTTGTCGTTCCAATTCTTCAATGCGAATTCCAGATCCTTCATCTTCTTGTTGCATCTCCTTGATCTTGTCCATCAGGGTCTGAACAACTCCTTCGTACTCTTGCATCTGACTGCGATAGTACATCTGCTGCGCAAGGTTAGATGCTTCGAGCTGTTGCGAAATCGTCAGTTCCTGATAAGCATTCGGACCATCGGCTATGGCTGGCGTGGCCACCGATGACGCATCACCACGCGCTGGGATAGTGTCCAGAGTCATATCCAGATCGTCAGCATCGCGTGGTTGGTTGGTAACCATCCGATTCCAAGTCATGGACTTGTCACGCCCACGAGTAACCGAAGTCCTTGATCGTGCTGAAGAGCTTCTCGAAGATGATGGTCTTGACTTCTTTTCCAAGGTCTTCACTCCTTTGTCCTTGGCCCTGGACGTAGTCCGAGGTGCCTGAAAACCAGACGCTTCGGCTCGTCGTTCGGGAGCCTTGCCCGTCCTCGAACCTGTGGATGTCGGACGCGAAGGCGTAGATGCTCTTGGTAGACTCTTTGCTTTCACCTTGGGAACTGCCTTTGCAATGGCAAGCGCAGAAGATTGACCTTTGTCATCTTCCGTGGAGCTATCAACGGATTGCACCACTGTGTCATCAGCTGTTGATTCACCAACGGCTGGCGCTGCCACATCGGCACCGAAAGTCATTGTCGTATCTTGGCTTGATCCCGAGTTCATTGTGGTCGTAGTAGATCAAGTAGTCGTTGCTGTAGAAAGGCAGAGCCGCGTACGGCTGATAACCTGCGTGGGGGATTGATCTCGACTAGGTTGCTGCTCTCCCCACCAGAGCTGTAATGAATGTAGGTGTGGCTGGCTTGCACTCTCCACAGACTGGACCCTGTCTCTCTCACACTTCCACACGTGCAATCCTATGCAGGCAGAACCGGCGGCCGTTCCTTTTGCACTCACTGCCGGCGGCGGTTCGTCTGTGCAACGGGATAGCTCTGATTGCTCAGGATAGAAGACACTTATAGCACTTAGCTATGGGCATTGACTTGAGCCAAACGTTGCGTGGGCGGTCACATAGAAAGGTAAAGATGAGGGACGCGTAGCGTGCCTCCTTTAGAGTCGAGGGACGCGTAGCGTGCCCCCTTCTCTTGCACTTTACACGGTCTTGCTCACAGCTCTTATAGTGACACCTTAGAACTTGACAAGGCATCGCAGTCCGTTCGCACTAGTAGTAGTAGTAGTAGTAGTAGTAGTAGTAGTAGTAGTAGTAGTAGTAGTAGTAGTAGTACTAGTAGTAGTAGTAGTAGTAGTAGTAGTAGTAGTAGTAGTAGTACTGCAAATGCCTCGTTTGGGGTCCTGGCTGGATTGTGCTTGGTTGCAGTACAACTTTAGTACTGCAAACGCCTCCTTGGGGTCGTGCTTGGTTGTAGTACAACTTTAGTACTGGATATTGCTGGTCCAGGGTCCTGGCTGGATTGTTTCGGGTTGTAGTACAACTTTAGTGGGTGAGTGGGTGGGTGAGCCTTTTTTGCCCCTCCACATACGTCATCGGAGCTCCGGTGCACAGTTCAACGCTCCGGGCCCCTCGATCCGAGCCTGGGATTAGGGGAGTAATGTGCCACCCCCCCAAGCCGGGCGACTTGGGTTGGAATTGGAGACTTGGCAAGACAGCCCACATCGCAGGAACAAAGCTCTTCCCTCGATGATCCCTCACCGAAGTACTAAGCTGAGGACACTGGCCAAGAGAGGCGGGGCATTGGGGAGAGGGGTGGTCGAACAAACACGAACACATGCACAGCACCCAGCAGCGAGACTAAGGGCAAAAGCACATTCAGCTGATGCCATCGTGGCTGCAAATACTCGAACTTCAGTACTGGAAATGTCTCGTTTGGGGTCCTGCTGGATGGTGCTTGGTTGTAATACAACTTTAGTATTGGAAATGCCTCGTTTGGCGGTTGTAGTACTAGTACCATTTTAGTACTGGAACTGCCTCGTTTAAGCTCCTGGCTGGCGCATGCTTCTAGGAGCCTGTCCAATCATATCAAGTAGCCCTGTCGTGTCAGCGCGTCCCCCATCGATCTTGGGAGTTCTGGCTCAACAGCTGCCCTCTACACTAAACTACATAAACGATAATTTTGACCGTAATTCGGCTAGTAGCATGCTTGCATGCAGTATTTCTGCTTTTTTGCATGTCACTGTGATGTAGCTAAGGCCAAAGCAAGAGCTTTTTCAGCTCGCCATCCAGGTCTGCCAATTTCGTAAACCTAATCTCCTGCGCCGCTCCTTGCGGGAACGTGGTGCTTAAACACTTTGTCTTTCATCTGCGCCACTATGGGATTCTCCATGGCGCGTTGCATGGCGACGGGCAGTTTTAGAGGCTCATAAGGACCTGTTCAAGCCGGTCGCACAGAAAATATGCGCCACCATCATGGGGATAGAAGTACCCTTGAAGGAGGCCGCTCTGATAAAGGAAATTTCGTTCTGAAGATTTTGTCTTTCATCTCCGCCACCATGGGATTGTCCATGGCGGGTTGCATGGCGACGGGCGGTAGGGAGGCTCTGTGCTTTCGAGTTTGTCTGCTTGTTGAAGTACGGACCTTTTCTAATTTGGGTAGGGTTTGGGAGCGCATTCTCAAATAAGTATGTTCTGCAGAGGCATGTAGGGGCTAACAATTCAAACCTCTGTCCTTGTCATGGTGCTTGGAAAATAGCGTTTGAGGGACTTGGTCAGAAGAAAGACAGGGTGCTACAAGTGGTTCTGGGGAATGCAGGGTTCGGGGACTTGGATTCAAGGTTTCAACAGCAAAGCCACTAAGACATCAGGTCGTGATTTCGCCTGAGCTCCTTGATTTGCCGTTAAGCAAGGTTAGCCTCGAAGCAGCCGTAAACCTTCATGCTCGAATGGCAATCTCTTACTTCTGCCTCCAACAAAATCTGCGACGGCGATAGCGGCTAGCAGCTCTCAAGTCTGATTCCGCCGGCTTTTGGCCTCGCCGAGAAAAGACTCGGGTCGCGTGCGGGGCGCGCGCACGCACACGTGGACGCCCTTCAGGCACACCCGGACCTGCCTTGGGCCTGTAGACTATGAAGTCCTTCCCGGTCAATGGCCTACACGCAGCCAAATGCTGGACATGAGGCTCCACAGCACTCAACCATGGTCTCCGGCCTTTTGACCGACTGCGACGACTGCGACGACTGCGTCGTGTCCAGTTGCGGAGGCCTTTGTGCCGGCATCCCCTTGGGACGTGTTGCTTCTGCCTTGCACATAGGTGGCCAAACCCCCAGCTTCGGTGGGTCCCAATGATCACTGCACCCCGGGCAACCTCGGCAGCAGGAGATGGTGCGCGCGAGCTGGCGGAGGCGGCCACGTCCTGCCACACGCTTCGGAGTCTCTCAGAAGTCGAGCGCAGCTTCTCGGAAAGGCCTGTGTACTGCGGTCGTGACTGCGTTCGAAGGAGGAGTGCCGAACCCTGGAGAAACGACAACTCTCGCGTCGACGCGACAAAATGCATGACATCATGCGACACGCACGCAAACTTGCGCCTCGTCTGGTCCCTGCTGCGGCTTCGATCTGTTCTGCGACCTGTGCCGGAGCATAACTGTTTCCCGCCTTCCGACCCTGCGGAAAAAGGGCTGGTGTCTGGCTTCAACAGCAGGGATACAACCAGGAAGGCAGCGCGCACGCAATCGATGCGGAGACTGCCGCAGGTACTCTGGATCGATTATCGTACTAGCATCTGCTACGCTTACGCCCTCTCCCCAGTGCGCCTGCTGCAGAGCTCCCTCGCTCGTCTCGCCGGTCATCCCGCCGATCATCACGTCGGTCGTCCCTTCGGTCCTCCCTTCGATCGTCTCGCCGGTCCCTTGAACGGCCCCGTCCACGCTCGCGATCACGAGTCTCGCGCTCCTCCCTCCTGTCTCGGCGGTCACCGGATCGGCGTCTCTCCTGGCACAGTCCAGAGCTCCGAATTCCCGGCGCCTGTGCTGGGAGAAGCGCCAGGATGCTGCCTCCGGTGACCTTCTCCTCCGGCTCCGTGACTTTCTGGTCTCCGACTTTCGGCTTTCCCTGGCGAGCAATCGCAAGCACAACGAGGATCCTGAACCCATCTGCAATCGCCAGCTTGTTTGAGCGGTCCGCACGATCCTCGAGAAAGGCATGGAAACACTCAGCGGCCAAGACTACCCCCCCGGAAAAAGGACACAGTTTTCTCCTCCCAAACACTAGAATCCGTGAAGAAATGCCAGCGCTCTGCTACCTCCCCCACCGAAAATCAAACACAGTTTTCCCCTCCAAAACACCAGAATCCGTGAAGAAATACCAGCGCTCCGCTATCTCCCCCCCCCCCCCGGAAAAAAAGGACACAGTTTTCTCCTCCCAAACACTAGAATCCGTGAAGAAATGCCAGCGCTCTGCTACCTCCCCCCCCGGAAAAAAGGACACAGTTTTCTCCTCCCAAACACTAGAATCCCTGAAGAATTCCCAGCGCTCTTGAAAAATGCCACCGCTCCACTACCCCCCCGAAAAAAGGACACAGTTTTCCCCTCCCAAAAACTAAAATTCCGTGAAGAAGAAATAACAGCACTCCGCCACCCCCCCCTCGGAAAAAGAACACAGTTTTTTTTCTCCTCCAAAACACTAGAATCCGTGAAGAAATGCCAGCGCTCTGCTACCTCCCCCCCACCCCGAAAATAGGACACAGTTTCCCCTCCCACACACTAGAATCCATGAAAAAATACCAGCGCTCCGCTACCTCCCCCCCCCCCCGGGAAAAAGGACACCGTTTTCTCCTCCCAAACACTAGAATCCGTGAAGAAATGCCAGTGCTCTGCTACCTCCCCCGCCCGAAAATCAGACACAGTTTTCCACCAGAAATAACAACGCTCCGCCACCCCCCCCCCCCCCCCCCCCCGGAAAAAAAGACACAGTTTCCCCCTCCCAAACACTAGAATCCATGAAGAAATACCAGCGCTCCGCCACCCCCCAGAAAAAGGACACAGTTTCCCCCTCCCAAACACTAGAATCCGTGAAGAAATATGAGCGCTCCCAAACACTAGAATCTGTGAAGAAATCCCAGCACTCTGCTACCTCCACCCCCCCCTTCCTGAAAAAAGGAGACAGTTTTCCCCTCCCAAACACAAGAATCCGTGAAAAAATGCCACCGCTCCACTACTCACTGAATTGCGTGAAGAAGGAATTACAGCGCTCCGCCACCCACCACCCCCCCGGAAAAAGGACACAGTTTTCTCCTCCCAAACACTAGAATCCGTGAAGAAATGCCAGTGCTCTGCTACCTCCCCCCCCCCGAAAATCAGACACAGTTTTCCACCAGAAATAACAACGCTCCGCCACCCCCCCCCCCCGGAAAGAAAGACACAGTTTCCCCCTCCCAAACACTAGAATCCATGAAGAAATACCAGCGCTCCGCCACCCCACAGAAAAAGGACACAGTTTTCCCCTCCCAAACACTAGAATCCGTGAAGAAATATGAGCGCTCTGCTACCCCCCCCCCCCGGAAAAAGGACACAGTTTTCTCCTCCCAAACACTGGAATCTGTGAAGAAATCCCAGCACTCTGCTACCTCTCTCCCCCCCCTTCCCGAAAAAAGGACACAGTTTTCCCCTCCCAAACACTAGAACCGTGAAAAAATGCCACCGCTCCACTACCCACTGAATTCCGTGAAGAAGAAACAACAGCGCTCCGCCACCCCCACCCCCCCCCCCCCCCGGAAAAAATTACACAGTTTTCTCCTCCCAAACACTAGAATCCGTGAAGAAATGCCAGCGCTCTGCTACCTCCCCCCCCCCGAAAATAGGACACAGTTTTCCCCTCCCAAACATGAGAATCCGTGAAAAAAAAAACCCCTGCCCCCCCCCCCCCCCCCCCCCCCCCCCCGGAAAAAGGACACAGTTTTTTCCTCCCAAACACTGAATCCGTGAAGAAATGCCAGTGCTCTGCTACCTCCCCCCCACCCGAAAATATGACACAGTTTTCCCCTAGAAATAACAGCGCTCCGCCACCCCCACCCCCCCCGAAAAAAAAAACACAGTTTTCCCCTCCCAAACACAGTTTTCCCCTCCCAAAGACTAGAATCCGTGAAGAAATATGAGTGCTCTGCTACCTCCCCCCCCCCGGAAAAAAGACACAGTTTTCTCCTCCCAAACACTGGAATCTGTGAAGAAATGCCAGCGCTCTGCTACCTCCCACCCCCCCTTCCCGAAAAAAGGACACAGTTTTCCCCTCCCAAACACTAGAATCCGTGAAAAAATGCCACCGCTCCACTACCCACCCGAAGAAAGGACACAGTTTTCCTCTCCCAAAAAACTGAGTTCCGTGAAAAAGAAATAACAGCGCTCTGCCACCCCCACCCCGCCCCGGAAAAAAGGACGCAGTTTCCCCCTCGCAAACACTAGAATCCATCAAGAAATACCAGCGCTCCGCCACCCCCCAAAAAAAGGACACAGTTTTCCCCTCCCAAACACTAGAATCCGTGAAGAAATACCAGCGCTCCGCTATCTCCCCCCCCCGGAAAAAAGGACACAGTTTTCTTCTCCCAAACATTAGAATCCGTGAAGAAATGCCAGCGCTCTGCTACCTCCCCCCCCGCGAAAAAAGGCCACAGTTTTCCCCTCCCAAACACTAGAATCCGTGAAAAAATGCCACCGCTCCACTACCCCCCCGGAAAAAAAGACACAGCTTTCCCCTCCCAAAAACTGAATTCCGTGAAGAAGAAATAACAGCGCTCCGCCACCCCCACCCACCCGAAAAAAAGGACACAGTTTCCCCCTCCCAAACACTAGAATCCGCGAAGAAATACCAGCGCTCCCCAGGAAAAAGGGCACAGTTTTCCCCTCCCAAACACTAGAATCCGTGAAGAAATACCAGCGCTCCGCTATCTCCCCACCCCCCCCCCCCGGAAAAAAAGGACACAGTTTTCTCCTCCCAAACACTAGAATCCGTGAAGAAATGCCAGCGCTCTGCTACCTCCCCCCGAAAAAAGGACACAGTTTTCTCCTCCCAAACACTAGAATCCCTGAAGAATTCCCAGCGCTCTTGAAAAATGCCACCGCTCCACTACCCCCCCGAAAAAAGGACACAGTTTTCCTCTCCCAAACACTAGAATCCGTGAAAAAATGCCACCGCTCCACTACCCCCCCGGAAAAAAGGACACAGCTTTCCCCTCCCAAAAACTGAGTTCCGTGAAAAAGAAATAACAGCGCTCTGCCACCCCCACCCCTCCCCCCAGAAAAAAAGGACACCGTCTTCCCCTCCCAAACACTAGAAGAAATACCAGCGCTCCGCCACCCCCCAGAAAAAGGACACTGTTTTTCCTCCCAAACACTCGAATCCGTGAAGAAATACCAGCACTCCGCTGTCCCCCCCCCCCCCGGAAAAAAGGACACAGTTTTCTCCTCCCAAACACTAGAATCCGTGAAGAAATGCCAGCGCTCTGCTACCTCCCCCCGAAAAAAGGACACAGTTTTCCCCTCCCAGAATCCGTGAAAAAATGCCACCGCTCCACTACCCCCCCGGAAAAAAGGACACAGCTTTCCCCTCCCAAAAACTTGAACTCCGTGAAGAAGGAATAACAGCACTCCGCCACCCCCACCCCCCTCGGAAAAAGAACACAGTTTGCTCCTCCAAAACACTAGAATCCATGAAGAAATACCAGCGCTCCGCCACCCCCCAGGAAAAAGGACACAGTTTTCCCCTCCCAAACACTAGAATCCGTGAAGAAATACCAGCGCTCCGCTATCTCCCCCCCCGGAAAAAAAGGACACAGTTTTCTCTTCGCAAACACTAGAATCCGTGAAGAAGTGCCAGCGCTCTGCTACCTCTCCCCGAAAAAAGGACACTGTTTTCCCGTCTCAGAATCCGTGAAAAAATGCCACCGCTCCACTACCCCCCCGAAAAAAGGACACTGTTTTCCCCTCCCAAACACTAGAATCCGTGAAAAAATGCCACCCCCCCCCCCCCCCCCCCCCCCCCCCCGGAAAAAAGGACACAGTTCTCCACTCCCAAAAACTGAACTCCGTGAAGAAGAAATAACAGCGCTCCGCCAGCCCCACCCCCCACCCCCCCGGAAAAAAAGGACACAGTTTTCCCCTCCCAAACACTAGAATCCATGAAGAAATACCAGCGCTCCGCCACCCCCCAGAAAAAGGACACAGTTTTCCCCTCCCAAACACTCGAATCCGTGAAGAAATACCAGCACTCCGCTATCTCCCCCCCCCCGGAAAAAAGGACACAGTTTTCTCTCAAACACTAGAATCCGTGAAGAAATGCCAGCGCTCTGCTACCTCCCCCCGAAAAAAGGACACAGTTTTCCCCTCCCAGAATCCGTGAGAAAATGCCACCGCTCCACTACGCCCCCGAAAAAAGGACACAGTTTTCCCTTTCCAAAAACTGAATTCCGTGAAGAAGAAATAACAGCGCTCCGCCACCCCCCCGGAAAAAAAGACACAGTTTCCCCCCAAACACTAGAATCCATTGAATTACCAGCGCTCCGCCACCCCCCAGAAAAAGGACACAGACCCCGGAAAAAAGGATACAGTTTTCCCGCTCCAAATACTGAATCCGTGAAGAAATATCCGCCGAGGCCAAAGGCCTCTGGCGTTGTGATGGTCTATACTAAGTAACCCTCCACCTAATCCTCCTCCCTGCACCCCAAACGCAAACTGCCACCCGTTTTTGGCGCCTGTTTTCGACCCCCTTGCCCGGCTTCCGTCTTGTCACCCGTGATTTTCATAATTTCCCCTCCCCCCTTTTCCCCTCAATTTGTTGCTGATTCTGCCCACCCGCCCCCCACCCCTCCCTGCCCCTCCCTCACCCCCCCTTTCTCATCCCGACCCCATCCCGACTTCCCTCCTCCATCTTTTGCCACTGTTCCATCTTCCCGCTGCTTTCCATCTCCCACCCTTCCTTCCTGTCCTTCGGCACTACTGGAGCCGTCAGCCGAGGCGGGCCGCGTAGCGCTAGAATTAGCGCTACGCTCCCCCCCTCTCGGAAAAAAGAACACAGTTTTCCCCTCCCAAACATTGACTCCGTGAAGAAATACCAGCGCTCTGCCGGCCCCCCCCAGACAAAAAACAACACAGTTCTCTTCTCTCCCAAACTCTAGAATCCGTGAAGACGTACCGGCGCTCTGCTACCCCCCCGAAACAAGGATACGGTTTTCCCCTCTCAAACACTGAATCCGTTAAGAAACACCAGCGCTCCGCTACACCCCCCAGAAGAAAGGAGACAGTTTCCCCCAAACACTAGAATTCATGAAGACATACCAGCGCTCCGCAAAGGACACGGCTTTTCCCTCCCAAACACTAGAAGAAAAAAGGATAAAGTTTTCCCGCTCCAAACACTGAATCCGTGAAGAAATATTGCCGCTATTTCCCCTCCCAAACACTGAATCCATGAAGAAATACCAGCGCTCCGCCCCCAACCCCCCCACGCACAGACGGAAAAAACAAAACACTGTTTTCCGCTCCCAAACACTGAGTCAAGTCAACGAGTCTGTTGGTCCAAATGGGCTTCCTCAATAGCCACCTGTTGGCCCAATTCTGGTCAATGTGTTGCCTCTTTTGGTAGTGAAGCGGGTCTGTGTCTCAGGCTTGCATGCGAATCCGGCGTCCCTGTCAGAGTCCTCGGTTGTCCTTGTGCTCCGGTGTATCTGTCTCGCTGTTTTATTCTGTCTAGTGATGTGCGGTTGTCGTCATTGGTTCTCTGCCTGCGTGTCTCGGCGTCGCAGCTGCGAGGCCGGCACTCCAGTTTCCGCTCCGGCTGCTGTGTCGCTGTGTCGCATTGTCCCGACGTTTCAATTTCCTGTGCTGCCAGGTTTTGGCTGACAAAACATATACAAACATAAACCATGCAATGATCCTGTTGCACATGGCCCAGTCTTCAGCAAGCAGTGCCGTTACCCGTGCATTCCTGTCCAGTGGCCTGCTCTGCAACCGCTCTGCCAGCTTGTCCGATCGGTTCACGTAGTCTGTCACCTCCCATGACTAACACTTGGGATGGAGGTCTTGTTCGAACTGCGCATATCCAGGGCTGCAGCCTTGGTCCTTGCAGCCAGGATTTCCCGCAAATCGTTGCCCTTGTACTGCTCCAAGGTAATAACCTGCAGCACTTGAGAACATGGCATGGCCCAAGCCTTGTACGGCTCATGCACCCGCCTGCATCACCACCTGGCTCCCTTTCACATATTGCCGCTGTGCCTCCAGGTTATCAAAAACAGAGTCTTCTCTTCTTCGTGCAGGAGCATGAACTCACATCCTTTCTTTTGCCTCGTTCACGAAGGCTGCCGGCCTGCCTCGGCCAGGTTCCCTTTGACCTCCTGGCGCTCGCCCTCCTCGAACATCACATCGGCGTCTCGCAACTTCTGTCGGTGCTCCTCCAGGGAGTCTTCTGTTAAAACGACAGCGAACGCTTCGCTCTCCGCCCTCCCCGCCCTCCCCGGCCTCGGCGATGACGACCGGTGCCGCTGGGACGGGCGCTGGCGCCGGAGCCACCGAAGCTTCGGCCGCCTTGTCGGCCTTGGGCCTCGGCTTCCCTTTGCTCCTCGCCTCCTTCGCCTTCGGCTCCTCCGTCGGCTCCTCTTTTGGCTCCTTCTCCTTCTGCTCCACCGCTGCGCTCTCGTTGGCCAGCTTCTTCAGCCTCGTTTCCGCAAGCGGCGAGGCGAGGCGCAAGCAGAGGCGCCGCCAGAGCCAGACGATGCCAGGGGGCTCATAAGCCTCGTCGATGTAGGCGTTCACTCTGTGCTTCAGCTGCGCGTCGTCCTTTGCCGGGCTCTTCTGCACCGGGGCCCTATGCAAACCCTTCTTCGATGTCGGTTAAAGTCCTCGGTCTGCACCAGCTCGACCAGGATCTTCACGCCTCCGATGTGCGTAGTGCCCGCGTATGCAAGGCTCCGACATCTCATACCCGACTAGCGCGCCTTTTGTAAAGCGATGCAGGGCCTGGTGCCAGGCAACGTCTCGCAAGTTGGATTCCGCTGTGTGAAATCACGGCTAGCACATGCATCGAGCCTTTTTGTACTGCTTCTGTTCTTTCAGCTCCCTTCCCTGTGCGAGCAATGCCTTCCAGGCGCTTGGTGTCTGTGCACTGGCGCCCTCAGCCCTCCCCCAATCGCAGTCTGTCCCGGATTTGTTTCTTTCTCGGCCAAGTCTGGGCATTCGCTCCAGGTCTCATCAGCGGTGAAACCAGTCCATCAAATTCTCTTGCAGCCCGGTTTTTGAAGCCCTTCGGACGGCAGAGACTTTGCTTCAGGCTGCAAGAGCTTGCAGAAACAAGCTCGGCTTGCAGGATTCCGAACCGGTCCCTTGCATTGCGTTGGCAAGGCTAGAGCGATTCATGGGATCAGGTCCCATGGGCCCTCATGGGCCTGAGCCACTCCCTTAAGTACCAAGATTCATACCTGAAAGCTGCGCCTCTAGGCCTACCTAGGCACATGTGACAGCCCCAGAGGCTGGACGGGGAGTGGCACAAAACACGGGGGGTTCACTTCGAACTCTCTCTTAGACAAAGACGCCCTGCAGCCTCCACAGCTTGAGATGCTTCTTGTTCCTAGAAGATGTGTCTACATCATGAGAAATCTGAAGGTGGCGCCACTTAAGAGACCCCCGCAATTTCAGGGGCTGTAGCGCCAGCGGTCCGGAAGCACTGCGCACGTGGACTTAAGTGGAGTTGCGTATTTTCGTAAAACCTGCAGGGAGAGTAACTTGCATCAGCGTCAGAGGGCCAAATGGAGTGCCATCGCGGACAGACTTGTCGAGCCAAGGTCCACAGCCTTCGCCGCATTCTGCTACGATGCACGACACTTGGGCCGCCTTGAGGGGCGGCACTTGTTCCTTTATTCCCAGCCTGCGCAGTGCATGAGCAGGTCATGGCTTGTACTTTGTCGCCGCCTCCTTGAACTGAGCCTGAGATTTGGAGATCGACAAGTGAAGTAGAAGGCTTCCTTCCAAGCAGGACAGCAAAAAAGGCCTCGAGCTGCCCAAGGATGTTCTTGAAGGACTTGCGGTCGATCTTAGAGGGGTGGCATTGGCAGTCGCGTCGAGTCCAGGAAAGGGTGGACACTGGGTGGCCAGAGAGTTCATTTCAGGCCCCGGCCTTGCAGATCTTGGAGTCTGTCTTTGCCGAGACGGTTGCTGCGCGGGGCTCATTCTTCAGCAGCGCGAGTTCCCCGAAGTAGTCACCTCATGAAGCGCAGACCCGGTCATGGAATGCCGGGGCAGGGGCAGCGGGAAGCGAAGCATGCTGGGGCCAGCCGCCGCGCTTGTAGTGATGCACTTCCTCGCAGCTGAGAGATGCCGTCGCGCGAACTCCACGGCCTAAAACCTCGCTCCGGAAGGAGGAAGTCCTCCTGGCTCCCACCTTCCCGCGTCTTCGTGGCCACCAGGTCGCCCTCCTGCAGAGAAGGAAGCGTAAAGCGCAGCAGGAAGAGATGCAGAGCGCCCCCAGCTGCTCTCTGCCTCGACGAGGTAGAAGGTGTCCCCCGGGTCGCCCTGCTTCAGGATCGTCTCCCCCTCCGCCAAGGTCCTCAGAAGAAGAATGCACTTAACAAAGGGGGAACACGCCCGCCAGGCACTCTCGCCGGGGCACTGTTGCTGAAGGCAGTCGGCGAGCTGCATCAGATCGTAGCTCTCCAGCGGCTTGAACAAGGGCACGGTCTTCAGGAAGTCCTCCGAAGGTGGAAATCCCTGTGCAAGAGCCCAGCCCTACTGTTTCACAGGCGGATGGGATGCTTGGCGAGGAACCATGAAGTCGTCGCGCCGCTTGGCGGACGCATCTCGAACGATGTGGCCTGCAGCGCACCGACAGAACTTAGGGAACTGAGCCGTCCCTCGGCCCTCGACACGATAGCATCCTGTCCCCTCATTCTGAGGAAGGGTCTGAAGGTCTCGCGATCGAGCTGCCACACCTGAGCAGATGCTTCACGAGGCTGGTCCAGCGCCGTCGGGCCGTGCGCAAGGGTTCCATCGCTACCGAGCGACAACAGCTTCTTCGGTGGCTTCCACCGATGCAGCCCGAGGACAGTTGTAGAGCCTGCAACAGAGGCAGCATTTCTGGCCACCAAGACAGGCTTCCTCTTGCCCTTGCTCAATCTGAATCGAGGGACAGCGCCAGCTCGCCAAAGACGTCACCTTGACCGCACCTCGTCGAAGGAAGGCGCTTGCGGAGCAGACTGCTCCGATGTTCAGAGAGGACGCCCCGTCCGTCCGAGGGCTCGGCTTCTTCACGACCTGCACATCCATGCAAACACCCCCCCCCCTCCCGAACCCTGGAACCCAAACCCACAGTGCGTGGGAGCTGGAGTGGCCTTGTCCGAACCATCAATCTTCCTCGGTGCTCTCGGTGCTCTCCGTGCTCTCCGTGCTCTCTGCTTGCTGAGGAGCACTCGGCTTTCAGCTTTCAAGGCCCCGGCTTGATACAGTCAAAGGCCCCTGACTCGATCAGGAACATCACGTCTCCATCATCTCCCTCCTGCCCGGGAGATGCCCCAAAAGACCACAGGAGACCTAGTTTCCCAAGCTTCGAGTAGCTTCGCCTGAATGATGCGCTCACCCGAAGGGATCTTTTTTTCCAAGAAGGCACCGAGGATGACTTTCAGGTCATCCTGTCCCCACCAAAGCGGATCGTCAGCACTGCAACTGAATGGCTCCGGCCTTGCTCAGCGCGTTGAAGAGGAAGCTCTTCGACAAAACGGCGTTGATGCGCTCCTCCTGCGGTGCGCGGTGTGGTCACTGCGGTGTGGCGTGGCGGGGTCAGGAAGGGGCTTGAGCGGCTTGAGCCTGGAAACTGGGCCTAAGCACCCCAGGGACAGCCGACCTGCTCCGTCGACTTCTCGTAAACCGGTGGCTCGAAGGCCTTCTTCTGGTTAAACGCACCGTAGGCCTCCGCGGACACGGATCCTGCCACCGGCGAATTATCCACACGTACAGTGTATAAGCAGTTCAGAGTCTGTGCATGCTCGCCTCGCTGTCCCTTCTTCATGTACGCGGTCGGTGGCTTCCAATCATCCTCCACATCATCCTCGTCATCATCTCCGAAATCGTCCTCCCGGAGATCATAGATGCAAGCATGCACACCAAGAATCTGAAAGGATCGAAGGGCTGTCGCAGGCCACTTGACTCAGCCTCGCCTCCTCCTCCTCACTGTCATCTTCGTTCTTCTTTCCGCCTCCTTCGTTTTCCTCCTTCTCCTCCTCTTCCCCTCCTTCCTCCTTGCCGGCACCTTCCTGCTTCTCTTGCTTTTGCTGAGTCTCTCCTGGGGAATCTGCCGGTGCCGCCGCAACAGCCTCCGTTTCTTCCTTCTTCGGCTGTGGCTTCTCTTCCTGGGCCAGCGTCCAGAGAAATGGGGAATGACGTTCGCCTTTCAGGCCGAACGGAGGGCACCTTCTCTTCACCCTTGGCTTTCGCGTCGCCCACCTTGTCTGAGAGGGCTTTGATCTCGTCCTGAAAGCAGCATCTCAGGAAAACATATGCAGCCTAGCAATCGCAGCAGGACCTGAAGTTCACGAATCTCGTTGCGCAGACGCTCTGCTTCGCCAACTCCGAGCGAGTACAAGGAGTCCTCGTCAGAACAAGCGTAAACCACCCACTCTGCTCTGAAGAGTCCGATGGCATCCGAAGACTTTCCTTTAACGAAGCCTGGACGGCCTAGACAGACACATCAATCAAGAGCCATCGTGTGAAGAGGGCCGCAAAGGAGCTACCGCGCTAACGCGCTTCTGGGCGCAACAGAAGATATAAGCTGAAGTTGAGGAAGACAAAGGGAGTCTCACAAGCGTTGAAAGAGCAGGCGCAGTCCTTGCCGGCCTTGGAGCGCTCCTCAGAGGCTTCTGCTGAGAGGGCTGAGAGCTTCATTTGCGCTTCTTCAGAGCCGGTTCAAAGCATGTGCAAGCAAAGCTTCGGCGAGCCATCGGACCATGAAGGGCACCTGAGCATTGAAACCCGACTTCGTGTCAGCGGTCAGCGGACAGGCTTTGCAGCTGGGCTTCGGGATTGTCCGGGCGCTCCAGCAAGACCTCCGTCACGAGGCTTTCGAGGATGGGATTGACCTTGCCTCGGGCAGCTCGGAGATGTCGTGTGACAGAAGTCGGGGAAGCACTTTGCTCAGCGATGTTGTATGAAGACAAACATCCAGACAAAAGAACACACACATAACATGGACAGGGCTATAAACACACACACACACACACCTGAGGTAAGGAGCTTCTTATAGAAAAGTGCGTCAAGCGGCTTTGAATGTACTCAGTGTGCTCCTGCGACATGTTTCGGAGACGGCAAAGGCCGGAAGATTCAACGAAGGCCAAAAGAGCGGGCACCAGCCTGCTCGTATACTCGAGCCGAGACGCCCATGAAAGCATCGCCAGCGTTGAGTACAAGCACTTGATGTGTGACTTTTCATGTTCGGAGGCAGCTGTGGTTCTGGGGCCTTTGCCTCAATACAATAACATCCTAGAGTCCTAGACCATCGTCGTCCCATGCGCGATTCCTCTCAAACCTTTAGAAACGAAACTCACACAGCCAAAATCGCCTCGCCCTCTGCCACCTTGTCCAGCTTGCCTTTTGAAAAAGATTCAAAACGTAGACAAGGCGAGATGAGCTGCCCAAGCTGAAGGGCTCCGGCCTTTCGACTTTTGGGGCGAATCCTTGGCTGAGGAAGCCGCGGAGGCCACGTCAGCACCTCGAGTTTGCAGGGCTGCGCAGGGCTGTGGGGCGCCTTGGGCGGCGCTGGCCACACCTGCACCGCCAGCGCATGGACAGCCCCAGGCAGACCTCGTCACGGAAATTCGGCAAGCTCCGCCCTCCCATCGCCCTATCGCGCTGCTGCACGCTTTGCTTGAGGAGGGCACCCAGTGACACCCCAGCCGGGCGCCGCTGCCGCTGGAGCGGGCCAGCCCCAGGCCGAAGCCTCGTCGAAGAACCGTGAAAAAGACTTCAGAAACGGGAAGCGGAAGATCGGGAAAGGCACGGGAGGTCTCTGCCAGCCGTAGGACGGCGGATGCCACATTCCCGGCGGCGGCCCCTCAGCTCCACGAACTGGGTCTGACATCAGCAGAGCATGGAGAGCGCCTGCGACGCCGTGCCGCCGGGCCCGGGGCCGCTGCTCTTCCCTTGCAAGAGACCAGAAAAACGACCACGGAGCGCCGGCTGCGAAGTAGACAGGACAGGCCTGGCTTCAGCTTCTCGCTCGCCTCCTTCTTGGCCGCCGCCGCGGCCGCAGCCTTCTCGGCCGCAGCCGCGGCCGCGGCCTTCTCGGCCTCCTCCGCCCGCTGGGCCTTTTGCTCGGCCTCTTTGGCCTCTTTGGCCTCTTTCTCTTTCGCCTTGCAAGCCTGGAGCTGGGCCAACAAGGCCTCAAGGCGACACAGCGGCGCTCCCCAACCCGAAGCCCCCGAAGCCCCCGAAGCCTTCTGCAGCTGCTCCTTGAGTTCAGGCAACTCTGCCTCCAGACAATCGCTGACAAAGTGCAGCTGCTTCGCCTCGGAACATGCAGGGACGCAGGGTGCAGAGCTACAACAAAGTCTGGCTGGCCTGCGGCTTCGGGGCCTTCGGGCCCACGCCCACAGGCGCCCGGCCCTCCCCAAGCAGCCAAAGGCTCTTGACCTGAGAGCCGCGTGCACCGCGTGCACCGGCCCGAAGAAATCTCTCTCAACCTCTCTGAAGTCGGCAGTCGGCGCCTTGGCCGATTTGGCGATGGACTGCAAGAAGCTCTGGTCGATGCTGCCCAGCACGGCCGTGCCTCGCCGCACATAAGCGCTTGGAAGGTCGCAAAAGGGAAAGTGACGAAAACCAGTCCGTGGTCCCCGCCGTCTCCAGGCGCCTGAAGCCTCTCGCTCTGGGACCTTCGCGTGCCATCCGTGCTCTCCTCCCTTGCTTTCTCTGCCAAGGCTGAGCTGCGGGGCCAGGAGCCGATGACGTCCCCTTCTTCGGCGTCCTCCGGCGTCGAGTTGGCCTCGGCGGAGCCGCTGAGCCGGAAGTCCCCGCCGCCGCGCCCCGCAAGTCCCCGCCTCGAGGCAGTCCTGCGCCTGCTTGTGCGAGGAGAAGCGCACGTAGCCCTTGGAACAGGGAGCGAACTGAAGCGGAGTCAGAGCAGCAGCACAACAACAACAACAACAACAGACGCAGCGATTTCTGCTCTTCTCACTGCTTCTCTTCTTGACGCAGAGCACCGCAGCTTCTCCGCCTGCCCCGTCGGCTGGTTGTCCTCTACGCTGCGGAGCAGGTAGAGGTCCTGGCAGAGCTGCGGAGCTTCGCCAGCACCGACTCTCGCCTGAACCAACTCTCACGGGCAGCCTTCACGTCTCCAAAGCCGCTGAGCCACTCCATGATATCATCCTGGCACCGCTCCAATTCAAAGGCGACACACACGCTAACCATCAAGCTTGCACCTCCAGGCAATCCGCGACGGGCAAGTTGCGCATGTAGAGCTGCCGGGCAGTCGGAGTCTAAACGCCGGAATGTTAACGCATGTCAATGCCAACCTCGCAGTCCGTGGCAGCGGGCGGCAGCACGAATGCGAGCTCATCCACAAACACCTGCAGTGGCCTCGGTCGCCCAGACTGGCTAATTACTGCTCCAGCTTTGCAGCTGGCCAACTGGCGACTGCGGCCAGTTTAGCCGCGACACGATGCACTGCAACTGGAAGAGTTAAAATTGACTACTGCCCACTCGGCTGGCCTCGCATCGGCCACCCCTGCGAGGGTCAAGACGACGGAACGCGGCAACGATCAGGAGAGAAGCGGTGCGCCTTGAAGTACGCAGGTGAGAGTACACTCCTCCATCAGCTCGCCATCTCCAACCTCTGTGACCGGCGAAGGCTTTCAAACGAATCTTGTGGGAGATCAACCCAATGCGCCTGCGTGTTGTTGAGCTGTTCGACAGCCTCGCGAGGTCATGGTGACAAAGCCGTCTGCAGTCCCCATGTCATTCGCAACGCTCTTCAGCACAATGGACGCAACTTCTATCTTCGTACGACAGAGAGGTTATCTTTTGTTCTGAGTATTGATGGAAACACGGCTCCATCACAATGCTGACCACAGGCTTCCCGAGCCGCGCAGAGGATCGCGGAAGGCGCAGGCCGTGAAAGGCGGGCCTTGGGCATCTTGTCAGGTGTCTTCAGCTGCACCCTGGCGAAGCGGCCACTCGGGTCCTGCCAAGTCCAAGTCTCCTCACATCCCCAAAAGCGGTGCCTTTCGACCTCCACGAGCTGCAAGGCCGCCACACCACCGAAGACCGTGAAGATCAGTTTCACCTGACATCAGCCACGGAAGGGCACCGAAGATCACTGCTGCCCGTTGCCTGCTGCTCGGTCCAGCTCCCAGCAATTCCGCGCACGACGATCTGAGCGTTTGGCAACGGAGAGACCATGCATCAGCACGTACGCGACACAACAAAGCCAAATCAACATGGACATACATACATACACGTATACCCCATGTATCAAGGCTTCCGACAGATGAAATTGAACTTCGGTCTTAGGCCCTGAACGCATGGGGAGAGTGACGCCGCCGGTGCAGCTGGAGCAGCTGGCGCGGGAGTGGCGGCGGGCATGGGCGGCATGGCTGCTGCGGCAGTGCCACGTGCTGGTGCTGCTGCTGGGCGCACTGAGGGGCCGCTGGCCCGGATTCTACCACTTCCAGAAGCTGTTGGCGGTGAATAAACGGTCTGTGGTCGGCCCGACATCGATGTCGGACCCGCCGACGGACCTGCCGACGGACCGGCGGATGGGCCGGTCGACGGACCCGTGGGCCGCAGCGGTCGTGGCCGAGGACCTTGCGCCGCAAGGCGCAATGGCTGCCCTGGCGGAGGGCCTGCGGGCTGTGGCGGTGCTTTGGGAGCTTGCACCGTCTGCGTCTGCACCTGGCTCGAAACGGGCTCCAAGCAAGGGCGAAGAGACGCAAAGACTTTCACGGCCTTCTTGATGGGATGACTGGTCGCTTGGGTGAGGATGGCCTTCAACTTCTGCTTGAGGAGATCCTGTTGCTTCAAGAGTGTCCTGCGAACATTTGCAAACTCCTGCGGGTCCTTCGAGATTGTCGTGCGGGCCACGATGTACAAGGCTTGCCTCGCGCGTCGGAAGAAAACGCGCAATGCTGCACAGAGCTCTGGCTCTGCAACTCGGGGAGCAGACGTGTAGGGTTTTCGCCCTAGGAGTTCCACCACCTCTGCTGAGGTTGACGGCCAGCTGTCCTGCATTGGTTGCCGCTCACAGGCCACACGACTTTCGATGCACTTCGACAAGGCGGTCCCCACCAATCAGGATCTTGTCGCACTTGAGGTTCTCTTGCATCGCCCTATGCATCCCGGAGTGGTCATGACGGTCTGCTTTGAGTCATGTCACGCCGGGCCTCAATCTGTTTGCTAGAGACATGATGGTGTCTCCTCTGAACGGTCCTCCACATCAAAGTGTCAATTCCTACCAACCCAGTGCCTGAAAGTCAAAGGGCACGGAAACAAAATCAATCACAAATGCAGGGGAAGGACATCACATGGGTGCCTTGTGTCTTCTGCACCATCTTCTCCGACAGTGACCTGGATTTCAACCAGCTGATATCAAGATCGTGATCGCCGTCTCCACAGAACAAAGTCTCGGGTTTCGGGCCATGTGCCCTTGATATCGATGAACTCACCATCCTCTTCGGCCAATGTGTCTACCAAGGACACAGCCTCAGAGATCTCTCGCGGCTGTCGCATGGTGCAGGTCTTGGGGAGTTCCGAGTGGATGGCATGCTCATGGGCTGTGAAGGTGACATAGGCACATCCTCATGAGATCCGAAACATCATGCGGGCAGAAGCTGCGAAGGGTCGTTGCCTGTGCACTGGAGGTTCCCGTCCTGCCAGAGCTTGCCCAACCCAACACGAAACAACACGACAAACAGCAGCGAGACAGCTGATGCGTGGCATCACATGACACAGCCGGCCTTGAGAAGGCCGAAGTTCTGAATCTCCCCAAAGTCTTTCCTAACCGCCACCGCAGGTCACAAGTCGTCGCAGTCGCGCCGTCTTCCGAAAAGGCGACATGCTGGGCACTGCTGGGCACCCCGGCAGCCAGTGTCGGAGCGCCTCCTCATCGTACTCCTTGACGGACGGACGCAGGGGCACGTTTTTCCATCTGCCAGGTGTCCGTCCCATGAAAACAATGGAACTGCCCGCATCTCCTGCAAAGGCAGCTCGCTGAGAAAGACCTGTCGGTCCATGCTACCTCAGAGCTCGCGGCCGCCAAAAAAGCGGAGGAGCCCGGTAGCTGCCGTTAGCGCGTGGCTGGCCGCATGGTTGCAGGTCAGGAGCTCGTCAACATAGAACTCGCCAGGGTGGGGTGTTAGGCACAGCGTGCGTCATGCAAAAACCTATCTGATCTGCAATGCCAGTAATCCTTCGGGGAAGTCTTCACTCAACTGCAGGAGCCTGGTAAACGTGGTACTCGGCGGGCATCGGGTCCTGTTGGACGGCTCTGGGTTCTGTGCCACTCTGGTGTACTGCTTTGTCTGCGGGACGAGCGTCCTGCACCGGCACTCTGTGGCATCGAAGTGGTTGCTCCCCCTTCGAGCACGTTACACTCCACACCCCGATGCGTCTCACAGTGATTCTCTCGAAGTGCAGCCTGGGCCCACATCATGCCGTCCAGCTCCCGAGCCCTGCATTCAAGCACAGTGGGCACGGCGGAGCACGGTGTTCATTTCAGGGCTAAGAAAGACTTGGGACCGAGCGCATGGGATGCCGAGGCCTCCTCCAAAAACTCCACGTCGAAGGTGCCCCTGAATGCATCGCACTTCAGCACGCCAGGGACATGCAACTATGCCTCAAAGCCGCCAGCAACATGAAACCTATACATGTCCAGCCAACTGGGGTCGCATCGGTTCCAGCTGATGCAACTTTTGGATCGGGCCGAAGCTCACCAAGTACTCCTTTCAGACTTGAAGCCACTCTGACTTCTATCCAAGAAAACCTTGCGAGGCTTCGCTGGCTGGGCCCGGCGGGCCCCGGGCTGAAAGCCTCCAAAAGCGGAGGCAAGGCTGCCCTGTCCTCGACCTCGTGCAAGCCCCATCCCTCGCCAGTGGGCGTGAAGCGCACACGCCGCCCTCCACCAGCATGCCTAAATGTCACGCTCAAGGCTCAAAGGCTCAACGGATTTCTCCAAACTCTACAAGTTTTTCCAGCACTCATGAGAACGCTTCCGCTCCTGCTGCGGCCGGAGGAGGCTGATGCGGGTGCAGGCTCCTGGCGCACATGCGGAGCACCGCACAGAGCGACTGCAGATAGGCTGGTGTCCTCCGGAGCTGCTGCGGCGGGTGCAGCAGGTACTGCAGGTGTGGCGGCGGGCCGAGAAGCGCCACCTGCTTTGAGAAGGCGGCTCAAAAACAGCCCAGGCAGATCTGCGACAGGGTGCGGCGGCCCGAGTACCGCCTGGGCGGTACGCGGGCCGAGCTGGCCGAGCTGTTCCCCCACCTGTGCCGTTCTCGACAAGAGAAACAAAGCAGAGTTGTCCGTCCCCTCCCCTCCCAACCTGCGCCGGCGCCGCCACGTGCGGCTGGGGGAACGATGGTTCGGGGGACGCCCGGCCGGGTGCCAGCGCTCGCAGGTCGAACGGACAAACGCCCGGGGGCCAACGGCGCACCTTTCAAAAGCAAGAGAGAAACAGCGTAGAAGCAGCAAACATGTCTTTTGGACCTTTAGGAGGAACGCGGACGGAGGGGCGAACCAGCTGCGGCCGATTACCTCGATGGCAAGGTCCCGTTTGGGCTGGCTTCACAGGTTTTGGAATGAAGGCTGGGGCTTTGGGGCCTTCTTGTTCTTGCTCATGCATGCTGAGCACTGCCCGGCTTCAGGATTTCGTTGAATATGTACAACGTCCGTTTAATAGAGGCTTGAGTTCCAGGAGCCTTTATGCTGCAGAGCAGTCGTGCCTAAGACCATAGCAATTTTCGGCACGATCCAACTCCCCATGATCAGGGCGGAACTGAATGGGAACATCGATTCTGAGCCCTCTGACACATGCAGCGTCTTCCGATTGGAAAAACTGGATGAACTTGTGGATCTACTGTTGCTCTGGCCAGCCTCTGGGCGAACCGTGGATGGTCATGTCGAGCCGCCAAACTGCCCCGCATCGATGTCATGCAGCCCTTCGCAGACCCTCCAAAATCAGCATGCAACATCCCATGCGAAGTGACCACTTCTGCTGTGTCGCGTCGCCTTGCGGCATAAACGCACCCTTGCCTCTTGCCTGCAACCTTGTTTCTGACAACTCTACTCTGCGACCCCGAGCCCCAAATGGCTGTCGGGTACATCAACGGAGCTTTTTTCGAAGTGCTCAGTATGCCAAATAATGCAAAAAGTGCAGTGGCACACAGAGTCCCTAAGACCTTCTGCAAATCGTTGTAAACCACTCACATTGCAGCGTGAGCTTAGGAGCATGCTAACAGCCATGCTTTACCGGAACACGAATGGGACTTGAGCCAGCTTCCATCATTCAATCAAAGCTCGGGTTTTTCCCAGTACACTCGTGAACTACTCTGCCGTGATAAGGTCTACGTCTAGCGGCAGAAGGACTACCGTGAACTACTCCGGCTTGATAAGGTCTACGTCTAGTGGCTAGCATTTCCCCTTCAGTCCATGATTGATAACTCCTGTGATGGCCTCTCGGCTTGTCTGCTTACAATAAAATGCCATGATAAGCTTCCTGCAAAGATATCTGCCAGAAGCTCATAGAACCCGTCCCGTGCCTGCATAATGCGCACACAGACAAGCTGACAAGCTCGACCGAAGTCGGTCCTACAGACATCTGGTATATATGTAATCCATTTCACAATCGATTCCTCACGGGAGCTCATGCAGGCGGGGCGTGTTTTGTCGGCAGGGCTCTTTCAGATCCTCCGGCGGTTCCGCAGCTCACCGCACCTGACTCTGACTGTGGGGGCCATGCACGGCTACGGATGCTCCGAAACGTGCTGCCAGGATGCAGCGCTGCAAGCCCCGACCTCCACAGGGTGCGTACGAGAGGAGACCCGCGCGTAGTGCATAAATGTGCGCAGGGCCGTAGGGCTGCGGCACAAGTGTCGGGCAGGCAACGGACGGCGCTCGTCCGACAGGTGCTGCTGGCAACGTCCACGGCGCAGTGGACGAGCCTCGTGGTCGGGTCGGGGACGCGCTGCTTCTGCCGTTCGGCCTGCGGCTGACAATCACTTCGAGCGACAGCCCGCTGCGGTTCTCGAGCTTGCTGCCACAGGCGCCTGAGCGAAAGAAAAGCAAAGCCTCGCAGTCTCCAACCGACGTCTGAGCCGAGATGCTGAGCTGACCGTTGAAGTCCTCACAGGCCCCATCTGCAATCGCCAGCTTGTTTGAGCAGTCCGCACGGTCCTCGAGGAAGGCATGGAAAACATTCAGCGGCCAAGTCCAAGGGGGGGAAAGTATGTGGTAAACAGATTTTTTGACTAAGTCCGTGAATAAACACCCCCCCGGAAAAAAGGACACAGTTTTTCCCTGCCAAACACTGAATCCGTGAAGAAATACCAGCGCTCCGCTACGCCCCCCCCAAAAAAAAAACAGTTTTCCCCTCTCAAACACTAGAATCCGTGAAGAAACACCAGCGCTCCGCCACACTGCCCCGGAAAAAAAAAGGACACACCTCCCCCCCGGAAAAGAAGAAACAGTTTTCCCCCCCAGTTCTCCCCTCTCAAAGACTAGAATAATTGGTGGTATACCATCGCTTCCCATCGCTCCAAAAACCACCGGAAAAAAAGGACACAGTTTTCCCCTCCCAAACACTACAATCCTTGAAGAAATACCATCGCTCCGCCAACCCCCCCCCCCCCCCCCGGAAAAAAGGACATAGTTTTCCCTCCCAAACAGTAGAATCCGTGAAGAAATACCACCGCTCCACTGCCCACGCGGAAAAAAGGATACAGTTTTCGCCGCCCAAACACTGAATTCCGCAAACAAATACCAGCGATCCGCTACCCCCCCCTCCCGGAAAAAGGTACACAGTTTTCCCCTCCCAAACATAAGGATCCGTCAAGGAATACCAGCGCTCCGCTACACCCCTCCCCCCCCAAAAAAAAGCACACAGTTTTCTCCTCCCAAACACTAGAATCCGTGAAGACATGCCACTGCTCCACTAACCCCCGAAAAAAAGGACACAGGTTTTCCCCTCCCAAACACTGAAATCCGTAAAGAAATACCAGCGCTCCGCCTCCGTGAAGAAATGCCAGGGCTCCGCTACCCCCCCCCCCCCCGAAAAAAGGACACAGTTTTCCCCTCTCAAACACTGAATCCGTGACGAAATACCGACGCCCCCCCGGAAAAAAGGACAGAGTTCTCCCCTCCCAAACAGTAAAATCCGTGAAGAAACACCCCCCCTTCAGAAAAAAGGACACCGTTTTCCCCTCCGAAACGCTGGAAGAAATACCAGCGCTCCGCTACCATCCCCGGAAAAAAGATACTGTTTTCCCCTCCCGTGGAGAAATACCACCACTCCGCCCCCCCCCCCCCCCACCGAAAAAAAGGACACAGTTTTCCCCTCCCAAACACTGAATCCGTGAAGAAATGCCAGCGCTTCGCCACCCCCCCTCGGAAAAAAGGATACAGATTTTCCGATCTCAAAGATAGAATCTGTGAAGAACACCAGCGCTCTGCCACACTGCCCCGGAAAAAAGGACACAGTTTCCCCCTGCCAAACTCTAGAATCCGTGAAGAAACACTCAGCGCTCCGACCCCCCTTCGGGAAAAAAGGACACAGTTTTCCCTTCCCAAACACTGAATCCGAATCCGTTAAGAAAGTTAAGTTAAGAAATGCAGCGCTGCGCTGTTCGCCCCCACATCCGCAAAAACTATACTGTCTGCCCCTCCCAGACACTAGAATCCGTGAAGAAACACCAGCGCTCCCCAGAAAAAGGACACAGTTTTCCCCTCCCAAACACTAGAATCCGTGAAGAAATACCAGCACTCCGCATCCCCCCGCCCCCCCAAAAAAAAAGAAATGACACAGTTTCCCCCTCCCAAACTAATCCGTGAAGACACACCAGCGCTTCGCCACCCCCTCCCCCGGAAAAAAGGACACAGCTTTCCTCTCCCAAACGCTATAGAATCCGCGAAAGAATTTCCAGCGCTCCGCTACCTTCCCCTCCCAAACACTGAATCCGTGAAGCAGTACCAGCGCTCCACTACGCCCCCCCGGAAAAACGTAAAAAAGATATTGTTTTCCCCTCCCAAACACTGAATCTGTCAAGATGCACCAGCGCTCCACCCCCCCCTCAGAAAAAAGGACACAGTTTCCGCTCTGAAACACTAAAATCCGTAAAGAAATAATACCAGCGCTCCGCTACTCCACCGGAAAAAAAACACAGTTTTCCCTCCCAAACAGTACAATCCGTGAAGAAACACCAGCGCTCCGCTACACCCCGCCGGAAAAACTCATACAGTTTTCCTCTCCCAAACACTAGAATCACTAGAATCCGGTAAGAAATACCAGCGCTCCGCCACTCGCCCAGAAAAAGGACACAGATCTTCCCTCCCAAACACTGAATCCATGAAGAAATACCAGCGCTCCGCTCCCCCTTCCCACACACAGATGGAAGAAAAAAGAACAACACTGTTTTCCACTCCCAAACACTGAGTCCCAGCGCGCTTCGCCCGCCCACCCCCACGGACAAAAGGAGTCGACAGGGATTCGGTCTTCAACGGACAGGAGATACGAGGCCAAGGACCCCCCGAGGATGGACAAAGGCACGGGTCCAAGGGCCATGAAGGCAATTCAGCCGAAAGAACTACCGGCACTTCGCCTTCAGCATGCCGAAGACCTGCTTACTTCCCCCACCCAAAAACAAACGGACACAGTCTTCCCCTCCAAACACGCAGACCGAGGCATTAAAACATGCGTACTCCCCTAGAAAAACAAACACGCAATTTGCATTTTCTCGAGTTTCCCTTCCAAACACTCAACCCGCTAAACCACTAAAAGACCGTTCGTCCTTCGTCTCCCCGAAAAAAACGGACACAGTTTCACCCTGAAAACACTTAAACAGCGACCAGAAACGTTGGCACTTCCCCCCGAACAAACCGACACAGTTTTCTCCAAACACCTGAACCGAGACAGAACAAAACACACACACACACACACACACACATCTTTGTACCTCGCCGCCTCCGGCAAAAACTGACACAGCTTTCCCGTAAAGACTTAAACTGATCAACAAGAAACGTCCTGCAGGCTCCAAACGTCGCCCAGATGATTTGGCCACAGGCCTTTTAAAGGATCCTGGGCAGGCATGCGGCTTGATGTGAGTGTGGCTCACGCCGTAGCCATGGTCCCCCCCTGCCTGGTCAAGGCAACAGAGGGCGTCGTACTGGCTGGCTTGGGTCGAGGCGTCTCCACAAGTCCAATTCTTTTTGGCTGCTTCCAGGGTGCAGCCTTTGGCACCCCAAGCGACCCAGGTCGATCCAAGTCCCAAATTGGCAACGAAGGATTCCGCTTCCGCTTGGTCACAGAGGTGGCTGCGGTAGGCCGTGCACGTCGCCTCTGCCTGGCTGTAGTTTTGGACATTCATGTTGCCGGCCGTCCTTACGGAGACATCGGCCTTGGAAGCAGAAAGTAGAAATCACGTCTCAGTTCCTTTCAAGCAGAGGGCCATGCCATATCCACACAGCACAGGGAGTTGAACTTCTTGTCCTCCGAAGATCTCCGAAGAGCATCGGCGTACAACAAAAACTCGCTTTACTGGCCCCGGTCCTTCTGGTATCCGCAGGCCCAATTCGGGCCCTCCGCATTGGCTTCCGTCCTCCTCCCGTTGTGGATGCAGCCGGCTTCACTGAAGTTGCGCTCGTCCAGCCAGGCACGGAATCCATAAGCACCGCCTCGGGATGCCGAATGTGAAAGCAGGGAAAAGCGGAGAGTCTTCTTTCAGCCTTTTACTGCGCGCCGGGCCACTGGCTTTCAGCATGTACTCCTTCCAGTCCCTTTCGACTTCATCTTTGAAGCAAAGATGCCAGGAGTCGCCGTTCTTTTCCAAGGACTCGCAGGACTCCCCCGCTTGCTCGTACGTCCTCAGCAGAGCACGGGGTGGAGAGCTGTCGAAGCCAAGCCCCAAAGCCGAGGCTCTGAGAATCCTCATCCTCCGTCGTGACCAAAACCATCCGGGCCTCAGAGGACACGGCTGCTCGGGAAATCGCCTTCGCGAACTCCGAACTCCAAGCACCCGGCCAACTCGCCGGCTGGTATGGCCTCTGATCAAGTGGACCCCTTCAGGTGATTTTACGCAGGGCATTCTTCTGGAGATGTCTTGCATGCAGAACATACCAAGAAAGTCAGTACAAAACTCTACTGGCACTCCAGATTATGCAACGAAACTCCAGTGATGTTCGAAAAAAGATCAACAACATTCTCGAACGTACTGGCAAATACTGTAACACAAACAACCCAAAAACAGATCACCAAAAGTGCAAACAACACAAATACAAAACCAACGCGATCAGGAACAAGCAACAAAGTCAACAACCACCAGAGAGAACCCTCAAAAAATCCGAAATAATGGCCAAAGCACCGGAAGCCACCGCGATGATTACTTCTCATGAAATGGAATGACCCATCCGTCCTCAAAGATGTGAGGAGCACTTCCCGAGCTGCCCCGCCTCCTTCGGCTCTTCCTCGCCTTCATCCTTCACCTTTGGCATCCCCTGGCCCTCAGCCTCCTCTGCTTCCTGACAGCCGACAGCTCTCTTGGCTCGTGGGCCCCATCCCGGCCCCGTCGCGCTGGCGGGCCTCCGTGTCGCCTTCCAAGGCCGATCCCGATCCGGCAGATGCGGCGCCTCCCCAAGGGAAAGAAACGCAGAAAGCGACCGGCCCTGAGCCGTGTAAGTCCGTGGAGCAGCGGAGATGCTCGGGTACGCTCGGCTCGCAGCTCGCCGCGCCTGCATGGGCCCAGGCCCACGCCTGCTCTGAACACACAGATCAGAGAGAGAGAGAGAGAGAGAGAGAGAGACGAGAGAGAGAGAGACGAGAGAAGAGACGAGAATCAGAACGGGGCGGCGCGCAACGCGCTGCGCGGCAGCGATGCGCCGCCTCTTGGGAGCGGAGGAGGGCGGTTCCAAGCCAAAGCCAAGGCCAAAGGACGCCGACGCTGTACCTCTCGCCGCATCTCGCGGCATGTCGTCTCTTTGTCACTGCAAAGACCGACTCCGAGCGCCCAGCATGAGGTGGCTTCGGCAGCGTCAACGTCTGCGTGACTTCACCCCGGACCCCACATCACTTCCAAGAATTTCGAAAACAAATCTTCTCAGCTTGAGCCATCCCGCCATCATGAAAATCCTGAGCATCTCGACTCTGCTCCAATCTACCCAGCCCAGCAATCGCTTCACATGCCGTCACCTGACTGTCTATAAACTCGGGCACGCTTCAAACCTCTCGGAAGAGTGCGAAGAGAGCTTAGCCACTTTTCGAGTCACGGCTGGAGCGGCTCCGAGTGCGCCTGAACTGCTCGAAGGACGAGCTCCTGGAGCCAAGGGAAGGCAAGGAGCGCTTTTCCCTCTGTAGGCTAGGCCTCGATGCGATGTGCGAGGGACGCTTCGGGAAATTGCCTTGGGCAGACGAAATTGCCTTGCCCTGCAGCAAGACCCGAAAGACAGCAGGCGCGTGCTGCCTCGTGCAGTCTGGTGCCACGAGCTCGCGCACCGGCTTCACCAAGCGAGAGGTGGAACAAATGAAGCAACCTCGGCAAGGCATCCGTACCGGTCGTGGCTGCACCGGTAACTGGGAGGAAGGCTCTCCCAGAGCTCTGCATCCGCAATTCTCGGACACTCCAACCTGGCCGCGCAAGCTCCGACTCCGTGCTCTGTGCTGCTCCGTCGCTTCCACTCCTCTCTGCACGCGCCTGACTGTCACGCCCTCCTCGCGAGCCACCTCCAGCACCACCTGCGCGCTGTGAAGAGCGAAGCGAAGGGGGCCCGGGCACGAATGAGAGCAGAGCCGAGGACTCCGCCTTACGCACGGTGCCCGCCAGCACTCGCTCCTCCGGAGCCGTCTGCCTGCCACCCGACTGGCGATTCCCACAAAGCACTGCAGAGGAAGTTCTGTCTACGTGCGGTGCAAGTGGCAGGGAGCCGTCCGCAAGCGCCGCGAAGAAGTTGGTCTGCAAGCCTGGAGACCAAAAAGCGCCAGCGCGCGCAGCCCGAGGCCGCCTGGCGGCCTCGGGCTCTTTTTTCCGTCGACACCTTCCGTGATCTGGCCGCTGCTGTCGTACATGATCACCTCCGCTAATTAGCGCGTTCTTGGCGAAGCGGCCGTAGAGAAGCGACTCGCTCTCCGAAGCCTCGTTGACCGCAGCTTCCCTCTGAATCTCCTCCAAGCTTGCTCGATCCTAGCCAGTGTCAGAGACGAGCGAGGAAACCCTCGTGCCGTGCGTGTCGGAGGGCCTGCACCCACTGCACATCCTTGATGGTGGGATTCCTGGAATACCATACAGAACGCGCTTCGATTGAAAACTCTGGGGGCGTGAACTCTTGGCCTCCTCTCTGCGGGATGCGCCGCGACTCTAACCATGGGTTCCTCGACATGGCACACAACACAGCAATCCTTGTCGTAGCTCAAGAAAGGCCCCAGGCCTAAGGACAGAACGACATAAGGTAACGGTTGCACGAAGGTAAAGACCTCGCCAGGATGCTAGGGTAAACGTGCTGATGTCAACGAAGTGTCCTGGGAGCGGCGAGTGCATGCAGGCATATGGCTACGTCGTTGCGAGCGCCTGCAAAGCTCAATAGGAGAGGATTCTTTCGCATAGACCGAGAACACCGCTGTGCAAGGCAAGAGCATCTGTTTACCCCATTTTGTTAAGTATTCGCTTCAGGAACTGGAATCGCGATTTGGGTGCGATCGGTCTTGGTTGCACGGTTTGAAGCGTTGCGGCTTCTGCACGGTCATTTTGGATGCAGTCGTTTAGGCACGACTGACCAGTTGCACAAGTCACCCAGAACAGAGCCAGCAGAGTATATGCCTCCAACCGAAGCCGAAGCTGAGGCACGTACGTCAAAACCTCTTTCAGGCGTGTGATCTCCCACCGTGTCACACGTCAGAAGCATCGTGACCTCATCGTTTGCAAGTGGCCATGTGCAGCTGCAACAAGTTCAGACGGGATGCGCTGCAAAAGGTAAGGTTCAGATTCTGAGATGTGGAGAACTCTTGTACAAGGTCACAACTTGTCACCGAATGTTCTGATTTAGTTGGAAGTGACGAAACAGGAGATATGGGACTTCCTCTGCAACGCGCTTAGGCTTTCGCCTGGTATTCAATCAATGGCTGCTCGCTGCTTTGGCTGTCCTGCGAGATTTGCTCATTCAACTGCCAACTTAGAAAAGGAATCCGCAGAACCGGGATCTCCAGATATCTCAGGGCCGCCAGACACTCGCGCACCAGCTCAGGCCGTAGGGCCTTGGCACGTCCGAGACGCCAAGCGGCAGCGCACGCGAGCGCGTCCTTGAGTCTTGCCTGCACGCCACCCGCGAGGAATCGCAGGGCCTTTGCAGGAGCCTGCAGCAAGCAAAGCGACGGCTGCCTCTCCTGTGTCTTCTTCCTTGTCCCGCCTCGGGCGCCTCTGGCAGCTCGCTTGTGCGACAGAGGACCTAATCAATAGAAACAGGTGTAGGCGCCAAAAACCGCGATCTGATAAGAAAGGATCGCCACAGAATTGGTCTTGCACTTGGTTAGTTTTCTGCTGTCACCCGGCTGTCTGAGGCCGAAGGCGGCCGTCGCTGTATCCAGCATCCGTTGGATATGCATCGAGAATTCGAAGATGGCATGTTTGCCAACAGTCCGAGCCTGCAGAATCCCTGAAAATTGCCCCACATTTCTGCGTTCTAAAAATCATCTAAGTAGCGGACTGTCGTGTATGCACCGTGGTAATCATCTCAGTCAGCGATCGCATGTGTTCTATTTGGGCCCTGCAACATCGGACTCGGAAGCATGTGGATTGAGGCAGCGACGCAACAGCTGATGTTTTGTCCTCGGTTTAAAAAGCCCCTTTACTATGCGAGTGGTGCAACTCAACTTTTCTCGGGGATCTGGCAACCAAGGGGCGCAAGCATCGGCATTCCGGACTAAGACCTCAACCCGGGAGCAGCAATCGACGCCAGTCTGCATTTTGCAGACCCAACACCAACCCTTTTTGACCTGCTCCTTAGGCATGCAACCTAAGCATGAACACGAAACATTCGGCGACACAAACTCTCCGAGCGCTGGGGCGGATGCTGAGCCGATCGGATCGGCCGAAACAGACATTTCCGCAGAGTTGCGACGTTGTGGGTTTTGTGCTCAATGTTGCAAAATGCGAATGTTCCTAGCTCATGCTTGAAGGTTGCGGCTCGTAGTTGCCGCCGTTAACGCAGAAACCTGCAATGAAACATCTTTGCCACGAAACATCCGATAGTGAAAAGGTTCCCGACTGTTGAAAGCACCTTGAGCCTGCATGTTACGTCAGTCGGTCATGCTTCGCATGCTCAAGGTAAAACTACACAAGTGGTCCACAAGCTACGAAAATGTTCTCGCAAACTGATAGTCCAAGGCAAAAGGGGAAATGTTAATCACCCCGCCCGAACATCCCCAAAAACTTAGACTGCACGATGTTCGCATCAACAATAGGGTATGATACGTAACAATAGCGAAGAGTTTGGAAACATGAGAGCTTGCTAAGACTTTTTTCCATCGGTTTTGTCCAACATTTGTGACTCCGGCTGTACACAAGAGAGAAACTACAATGTCGTGGCATCTAGTGCTGGCCTTTTGCAGTTTGCCAGCAGATGCTTAAGATTTGGACAGCTCGCAGCCCGTGCGGCTGTCTTTCAGCCCAACAGAAAATGCCTGTAATGACAGTAAAGAAACAATAACAGCAATAGCAGCAAGAACAGCAACACTGCCAATCACTTTCAGATCCAGTTACATCAACAATAATTGTCATGGCAAGTAAAGCAGTTGCTGCAAGCTCCCGGTCCAAAAGTCAGTTTTCAGTGAAGCGGTCCGGGCTTTCACAACTGAGGAGGCTTTCTGCAGTCCCACCTTGTTGATATAGAGGTCAACGTACAAGACTTCAAAAGATATGTCCGAATTTGCAGAAAGAGAATAGAACTGTTTGAAACTGGCATGTTTTGAAAACACATGTTGTGGCCACCAGCTGGAGTGCTTCTCCCCAGGTGCACCACTGCAGGTACGTTTGCACTGCACTCACAGAAGCGTCTTCGTTGGCTGGAGACTTCTGTGGTGCACTCCAGCCCCCTGCAAACTGTAAAGAAATCTTCACAAAGGAAAGCATCAAGCGAACAAGCATGTAAATCAAGGTTTTGGGCATGAACCTTTGCGAACATCAAAAATAATCTCCAAAAAGGAAAACATCATGCAAGCGAGCAGGTAAATCAGAGTTTGTCGCATGTACAGCAGAATAACACAAACAGGCCCCCGGAGGGGCGAACATTGTTCATCAGAGCACATGTCAGAGCGCTGCATTTCTTCCTCGGTCGCATTAGTATGTCACGCTCCACTCAGACCTTACAAAGGCGGAATAAGGCGGCGAACATTGAAATCATTAATGAACGCAGACCCAATACGTAGCCTGTCTTCATTTGGATGGTGGATCCACTCCACCGTTGCATGTCGCAATTGAGCGAGACGCCATAGCTGTTGAATATCAATAAAGCACCGGTTTCCAAGCAATCGAATAACTAACAAATACCAATCTTTGCATACGGACGCATATACCACAACATGAGGCATTGCAGGAGCTTCACAAGTAATAGGTGTATATACTGACGGTCCTTGAAGGAAGAATTCCCAGACCTCAGCGCGAAAGTCCAGACCTTCTGTTCTGCATTGAGCAACGAATTGCTCAAGATCCTGCATAGCATAGAATCCATGTCGTCGAAGGGTAATATCCAGAGTCTCGAGCGGATCTAATAGAGAAAGGTGAAGAAGAAGATGATATGACGTCTTGTACTGACAAACTGCAGCACTTTGTCATTCAACATGGAGAGCTCCCACATGGCATCACAGGTTTCCCTGCCACACGCAGCACACACTACAAGAAAGCTCGAGCTTACGTCTTGCAGCAATGAATGGACAGAAGTAGCTGTTGATTTCACGCGCACAGAAAGCTCATTAGATCACAAGGCAAGATACTTCATTTGTTCCGTTGATCAGCAGACTTCTCAAGTCCACCACACTGATTCGTGTGGCCATGTTCGTACAAAATGAACAGGTTGAGCGGTATGCGGAAAAGCAGACACTCGGGAAATCGATGAGGTAAACGGCAAATGATGGCCGAACTGCCGTAGTTGGAAAGCGTTCAAACGAGGTGGTATCCCCGTGCGTTCCTCAAGCTCCTGGCACAACTTCTTCTTCAGGTCATCAAGTGTAGAGTCTGCTGACATCGCAATCCAGAAACTCATTTCACGTCCGCCAGGGCATATATCTGGAGGCACAACAATTGGAATCCGGACCATCGGAGCAGGGGCCGGAAGGGCCGCCATGCTTGCCGTCCGCTTCATCTTGCAAATTGAGCCGTAAAAGACTTCACTGCTTCATGAAAACATGATGCACAACCGGAACAGACAGTACAAATGATTGCAAAAAGGTCAGGACGCCAATTTTGTCGGGCACATACATCAAGCTTACCGAATGTGACGAGATCCACCGGGTGAAACAGTTGTGCTTGATCTTGATCGAGACCGTGAACGAGATCTCTCACGAACTTCCGATTCACTCATGGATCTGCTTCTTCGAGCAGCATTAGCACTCTGTTGCCGTCGACGAGGTAATGCATCACGCTGATGAGGGTCCGTCGGGGAATACTGGATCCATCAGTCGTTGTCGGTGCAGCATCACTAGGATCGGCTCCATGAGAGACATCCGAAGGGGGAGGAGACGGAGAGAACGGGAAACGAACAGGAGCAGAAAAAGACACAGGAGGGGGAGGAGGAAAAGCAGGAGGAGGAGGTGGAAGAGAGGAAGAAGCAAGAAGAGAGGAAAAAGAAGGCAGAGAGGACGTCAGAGGAGCAGAATGGGAGGACGTACCAAGATGTTGAGCGACAAGTGTATCAGCATCACTCTGAATCCGGCGCCGAAGATGGGAAAGAAGCACTTCTGTCTGCCGGCGATCCCCCAAGATCTGAAAAAGAGCCTTGACTTGTTCTCCGTCCAGACTTCTGGTTATGTCAGTGCAGCGCAGCAGCGATCCGGACATTGATAAGTCAGGAATGGAACTCAATAGCTTGGACCAACATCTGCCATAACTCACATTCTTGCAACTGCATGCACACAAGCGAGCAAAACCGCGGCTAACAATTTTCTGACCTCAGAGTGACCTATACAACTCTGACCTGCGCAGCAGGAAATGCACATGCCGAAAAAGTGACTTGATGAAGTTGGCACCAACATGTCTCAATGCCCATGAGCTGGTATGTACAAGATGGCATCAGTCGAGAACCATGACAAACTCGTAGTCTCATCAGAAATTTAATATGTCGCAGAGTCAAAGTACGACACTGCACAGAGATCCGCAAAAAAGATTCGCTGCATCGTGGAAGTAAATGTGTAAAAATGAATGTGGCCGAATCATTGGACAGTCCATGATAGTTGTGTGCCCGAAAACATCGTCCCATCCCATGCGTCAACCATCGCTGCCACTGAGAAAACTGCTGAGTTCGGCAATAACTGGGATTGTCACATCGCTGTGTGCTGACATGCACACTGCTGCACACCATAAGAAAAGAGAGAATGCAGTGGCGGGGCGCTTCTTCATTCCAAACATCAAGAAACAGGCGGCTGGACATGTTGAACTGAATGATTGTATAATTGATCATACCCTTTTGAGCACATGCATCCAGACAAAGTAAAAAGCAATTCATGACAACCGATGCAAGCACGTGAGGCGCACTTCAAGGAAGTCTTTTTTACGCACCCCATGACATGTCACTCGAAACTTCGTCAGCAGAAGCGTCGACATCGAGACCAGAGGGAGACATAACGAAAGAACAAGAAGACCGGAGAGAAGAGGAGCAAGACCAGGACCGAGAAAAGGAAGAACAGGAAGGAAAGGAAGACGAAGGAGGAAGACAGAAAGAAACAGACGAAGAGGCAAGGAAGGCAACAGAGGAGGCCGGAAAAAGGGAAGGGAACAGCGGGGGACGAGCGGACGGACGAGGGGGAGCACACAAAGCAGGAAAGAAAGAGGAGGAAGAAACCGCAGGGTTCGGTCAATGTATTCGCAGCTGCTTCCTATATGCAGCTTTGTATGTAAAAATGTATACATATAAAGCAAAGAATATATTCAAAGGAATTGATGCAGTCACTCGAACGAACTCGCTCCTTTTGTTCTCTGGCGGGAAATGCAGATCCGAGCTTCGGTAGCAGAGAAGCTGCCGGTGAAAAGATCTGCATGTTTTCCCCCCCGCGGCTAGATCCAGGTGCATCAAAAGGCACCGACCTGTAGCCCAGAGGGGTATGCAGCTTGACCTGCCTTCTTAGAAGGTGGCCAGAAAGAAAGGCGAAATGCAGATATAATCGCAAATATCGTGGTAATGCAGGAGAGAACAACTCCCAAACAGCTGCAAAAGTAGCGGAATGCAAGTGCAAGCATTCGAACCCAGAAAAAGGGAAGAGGTGGGTGGGACAAAACTTTTCTGCCTGCTGTGCAGGCGAGCTGGCAGCTGCGAGCCTGCTTGCTGCAATGCACATGGAATGTCATGAATGCAGCAAGCATGCAAAACATTGCCAAACACTCGTGAGCAAGCACACATACCGTTCGGTCAATGTATTCGCAGCTGCTTCCTATATGCAGCTTTATATGTAAAAATGTATACATATAAAGCAAAGAATATATTCAAAGGAATTGATGCAGTCACTCGAACGAACTCGCTCCTTTTGTTCTCTGGCGGGAAATGCAGATCCGAGCTTCGGTAGCAGAGAAGCTGCCGGTGAAAAGATCTGCATGTTTTCCCCAAATGCAATCTGCCAGAGAACCGAAGTCGCGCATCAATTCCACCAAATGAAAAACGTGCGACAAGGTGATTAGAGGGCTGCTCCTAAAGGAGAGCCACTCGGGATGCAGAAAGGAGGCTTCCAAGAGGAAGGCGAAATCGAAATGCTAGGCGATG